TTCTATCTAGCAATGTGCATATGTGCAGTGGTACAGTGGTTGGTGGCCCTGCCTGTGGCAGGGAGTTGGAGATTCCTGATCCTTGAGGTCCTTTCCAACCAGTGCCATTCTGAGTGTGTGTGTGTGACTGGCTAAACACCAATTGTTGCTAGCTCAGCAGGTATACTGCTAATTATTGAACGTCTGACAGCTGCTTATCAACACTTGGCCACTATTTCTGGACACCTGCTCATCCCTGAAGAGAGAGAAGTTTGGAAGGAGGACAGAGGGGAGTCTCTTGATGCCTGCCTGTTGCATCCCAACCTGCCCACAGAGTGAGTCACTCTGGCCTTGTGTGGAGGCCCTGGCTTCTTTGGAGTCTGTTTTTCTTTTGCTGAGCTTCTCCTAGCCAAACAGAATGGCCTTACAACATGCTTTCTGGTCCTTAATACTAAACCCATGCAATTTGTAACTATTAAAGTTCTGTAAGTGAGAATTGATCACGTGATTGAACAACTGTATTTCTCAAATATGTTATGAAATAACTTCTTTTTACTAATACTAATAAAGTCTTTCTACTTTTTCAAACTGTTTCTAAGGGCAAATTACTAAACACATGGTGCTGTACTGCTTCAGAGCAATCCCACATTTGATAGCCAGTGCAGAAACAACATTCCATCCTACAGCATTAGCTAGTTCAGAGGTACCAGACGTGTATCTGGATGTGGCTGTTGTGCATAACTGGGGCTGAGGGATCAGAAGTGACAGCTCCACTCTTGGAGACCACAGAACTAAAATGGAAAGATAAAATAGTTGCAGGGCAATTGTTCTCTGTGCCTGAAGCAGGGACCAATTTATGGGGGCGAGATTTAACAGTTAAATGAGGATTACAGCTGCAAGTCTGTGAAACAGATATCAGGTGTCAATGGATGTGTTATCAGCTGTGATGAAGAAGAAATGAATCCAAAGCTGTGGGCAGGGGAAGGAAATCGGGGTGGACTCACAATTTTCCCTTACAAAGAACTGCCCAAGGAGGGAGTGGAGCTGTGAAACAGCAACAATATCCCATAGCCTTAGAAGGGAGAGTGGGTCTAAAAGCTGTAACAGACAGTGGTTAAGGATGTCTTCTGGAACCTTGTCTGTGGCCTTATAACACCCCAATCCTGTCGGCACTGAAAGGCAGACGGCACGTATCGGCTGGTGCAAGATGTAAGGAAATGACTGAACCCGTTCTCAAAAGACAGCCTGTGGTTCCTAACCCCTATACCCTAATGAGTCAGATCCCACACGGACAGCAGTGGTTTGGTGTGAGAGACCTCAAAGATGCTTTCCGGACAGCCTTTGGACTCAGAGAGAAATGGCTGCGTTTGTATGAGGACACATTGTAATCCTATCGTGATTCGTGATGATACTGTAGATACTGGAACTCGTGCTAATCCTTGTCTTTGCAACATGTGAATCAAGTGACAGGTGCTCCTGTCACCTGCCGATGCTTCAGAGCTCTTCAGCATGGACTTCCTTCCTCCCATCAGCAGCTGCTCCTGCACTGACCTTCATTCACACTGGGATACCATCTGCTTCCAGCAGGAGCTGACCTGCGAGACAGAGAAAGGAAACGTGGGATGAGCACCAATGCAGAAGCACAAGGCTGTGTCACCACCACGTCTTGCAGCCTTGGGAAGTCAGCTGCAACTGCAGCCTTGGTCAGATTTCTTTTGCTTTGGGGAACAGATGGACTCGGAATGGAA